TTGTTCTCAAAAATTCTTCTCTTGCAAATGGTCTCTCTATCTGTAAATGGTGTTTCTCAAAAAAATCTCTCGATTGCAAATTGTTCTCTCAAAATCTCTCTCGGATTGCAAATGGTTCTCTCACAATCTCTCTCTCTCTCGGATTGCAAGTGGTTCTCTCACAATCTCTCTCTCTCTCGGATTGCAAGTGGTTCTCTCAAAATCTCTCTCTCTCGGATTGCAAGTGGTTCTCTCAAAATCTCTCTCTCTCTCTCGGATTGCAAGTGGTTCTCTCAAAATCTCTCTCTCTCTCGGATTGCAAGTGGTTCTCTCAAAATCTCTCTCTCTCTATTGCAAGTGGTTCTCTCAAAATCTCTCTCTCTCGGATTGCAAGTGGTTCTCTCAAAATCTCTCTCTCGGATTGAGGTTCTCTCAAAATCTCTCTTTTGCAAAATGGTTCTCTCAAAATCTCTCTCTAAATCTATCATTGCAAATGGTTCTCTCACAATCTCTCTCTCTCTCGGATTGCAAATTGTTCTCTCAAAATCTCTCTCGGATTGCAAATGGTTCTCTCACAATCTCTCTCTCTCTCGGATTGCAAATTGTTCTCTCAAAATCTCTCTCGGATTGCAAATGGTTCTCTCAAAATCTCTCTCTCTCGGATTGCAAATTGTTCTCAAAATCTCTCTCGGATTGGGAAATTGTTTATCTCACAATCTCTCTCTCTAAAAATCATTGCAAATGGTTCTTCAAATCTCTCTCTCGGATTGCAATGGTTCTCTCACAATCTCTCTCTCTCGGATTGTAATGGTTCTCTCATCTCTCTCTCTCAGATTGCAAGTGAATCTCAAAATCTCTCTCTCTCTCGGATTGCAAGTGGTTCTCTCAAAATCTCTCTCTCTCTCAGATTGCAAATGGTTCTCTCTCCTCTCGGATTGCAAGTGGTTCTCTCAAAATCTCTCTCTCTCTCTCGGATTGCAAGTGGTTCTCTCAAAATCTCTCTCTCTCCCTTGCAAGTGGTTCTCTCAAAATTCTCTCTCTTGCAAGTGGTTTCTCAAAATCTCTCTCTCTATTGCATTGTGGTTCTCAAAATGGTTCTCTTAAATTGCAATGGTTCTCTCTCTCTCGGATTGCAAAATGGTTCTCTCAAAATCTCTCTCTCTCAAATTGCAAAAAAAAAAAATCTCTCAGATTGCAAATGGTTCTCTCTCAGATTGCAAATGGTTCTCTCAAAATCTCTCTCTCTCTCGGATTGCAAATGGTTCTCTCAAAATCTCTCTCTCTCTCAGATTGCAAATGGTTCTCTCAAAATCTCTCTCTCTCTCAGATTGCAAATGGTTCTCTCAAAATCTCTCTCTCAGATTGCAAATGGTTCTCTCAAAATCTCTCTCTCAGATTGCAAATGGTTCTCTCAAAATCTCTCTCTCAGATTGCAAATGGTTCTCTCAAAATCTCTCTCTCAGATTGCAAATGGTTCTCTCAAAATCTCTCTCTCAGATTGCAAATGGTTCTCTCAAAATCTCTCTCTCAGATTGCAAATGGTTCTCTCACTCTTCTGCTGTACACCATTGGACCCCTATTTTCTCCACGTTCATTGCATAATCTGTATTTGCCAATTATTTTACTATCTTGTTTTTTTCCAACTTATGCACTTCTGGATCCCCCATAATATATTTAAAGCCTCTTGAGATATTCAGCACAACATACAGAAGAAGATATTGAACGATTTTACTGTACACTAGACAACACCAAAGATCAATGCAAACCCTCAGAAATTACAATCGACATGAGAGACCTGAATGCCAAAATAGGCAGGAGGACAAAGGAAAGTACAAGAACTCCTACATAAATTAGTGAAGGACGAAACATCAATTGCAAGAATTCAGCATGTGGAATTGATTGCAAAAGGAACAGTGCCAATTGGAAATACCAAAATCAAGCAAATACAATTCAAATATCTGGGATGTGTTTTAACGGGACGGAAAGTGTGACACTGAAATCTCAAGGTGCATTGGGATAAGGAAAGATGCCTTCCAAAAGTTAAGCAAAGTATTAAGAAACAAAAGAAAAAAAAAAGTCATTATATGCAAAGAAAAGATGACTGAACTGTTACACAATATCAGTCCTCCTGTATGGAGATGCAGAGGAAACTTGAAGCAGCAGAAATATGGTTCTACAGAAGGATGCTGAGAATAGCCTGGACTGAAAATGTGAGCAGTGACAAAAATGGAAATGAAAAGACTTAACATGAGGAAGAGAATGTTGGAATTTCTAGGACACATAATTCTTGCTCATCGGAAAGCAAGAGCGACAGATAAAAATTATGCATAAATTACCAAGAGAGAAAATGAATAGTGGAACAAGATAAAATTTATTAAGAGCTACAAAAGACAGGAAATTGTGGAGAGCCATGATTGCCAATGCCCTGAAGAGGGACAGCACATGGAAGTTAAACATGTGGACATTGGAATCAACATTGCAATGTCATTATTAATGTTAAGTTTTTCATATTGAAATAAGATTTTGCTTGCTAGCCAATTATATATATATATATATATATATATATATATATATATGCATTGAATGTTAAAAGAGACTATAATTCATGTTTGGCTTTAATCATCGATAAAGAAAGGAATTCAATGAAATTCAAAGTTGACGTAACAGTTTACATCTTCAGAATGGTTTTGAATGTTTGCATTGCCATTTAAGCCTGATGTTATTTAGTTTTCAAAGTCTGAAAAATAGACATGTATTTTTTTCTAATATTCACCCTATGCAAGACCCAAGAGTCACTCGAGATAGAGGGCTACAGAATATAAGTAAGGTTTGCAGATTTTGAGAGAAAGGTAATGGTTAACCATAGATGTGGTCTGGTTTGGTTTTTTGTTTTTTTTTGTTTTGTTTTGTAGCATATCAACCTCAATGGGTTATTTAATGCCAAGAAGATTTTTATTGCTGGTAATAATTTTTTCCTTCAAAAATTCATTGCTGGTAATAATTTTTTCCTTCAAAAATTCATTGCTGGTAATAATTTTTTCCTTCAAAAATTCATTGCTGGTAATAATTTTTTCCTTCAAAAATTCATTGCTGGTAATAATTTTTTCCTTCAAAAATTCATTGCTGGTAATAATTTTTTCCTTCAAAAATTCATTGCTGGTAATAATTTTTTCCTTCAAAAATTCATTGCTGGTAATAAAACCTATTTTACACTTTCATAGTATTTTGACCCCAATTTTGAGGTGTCAACTATTTGCTCATTGCTGGGACCCTAACAGGTGCCACCACCCGAGATCAGGGTGGACCTGGGAACAACAGCAATGAAAAGGTAGTTCTACACTCCTCAAAACCACCTGATCAGAGGCCTTGCTGTTGGACACAGTTCATTGCCACACCCAGGACGTGAATATAGTTCATCCCCACACCCAGGACAATCAATGGTGGTCATGAAAGCATCCACTTACATGTATGTTCCAAAAAGTAGCAGTTTATGAGAAGAATCTGTTTGAGTGGAACTTACTTCTTACTAATAGAATATGCAGCGAGTGAATGAGGTTGGCCTCAATGTCTGCAACACTCTAAGCTGTAATGGTTAGAGTTCACAGAACTAAGGAATGTAGCACATTTTAAAATTTCTCATAGAAATAGCAATAGTGTAATGAGAGTCTTGCAATCTTTCATCCATTGGAAAGAGGTTGTATGGTGAAAAATCAGTCATGACCCACAAGGCTGCATAGGTGCTTTTGTACTATCAAAACTGGAGATAGAAGATTGGTTAGCCCCAGTGAAGATATTGCAGCATCAATCCATTTTCAGCTTGATCTGACTCTTGTAAAGGTATAGCCTAGCAGGAGGTGTCAGGTACTTACCGGAGTGGTACAAGGAACTGACTTTTAGAATCCTTTGCAATTTATCATGTATACGCATTTCACTTAAGGTATAGGGTAAGCTTAAGTCACAGTAGGCATTCAAGGCTGTGAGCCTCGTTAAGGGGACATCTGTTCATTGCGTTAGGTAAGAATTCAGGGTTTGCTCGATGATGACAGAATGCTACTAGTTCAAGTATTGAATGTGACCAGCCATTGACTCCTCCCTACCCCACTGAGATGTTACAGCTAGCTCAGAGATCAACTGTCAAGCTCTGCTCACCTTGATTTTTCAAGGTGCAGCACTAAAATTTTCTATGAAAATTTCTCGGACATTCAGGCCGGTAAATGTTATTTAATACTGTTTATTATAAACAGAGCATTTACTTAAATACTTGTATCTATAAAAAAAAAAAAAAAAAAAAAAAACGTTAAACATAAAATGTCTTTTATATTTATATTTATTTTTATATATATATATATATATATATATATATATATATATATATATATATATATATATATATATATATATATATATATATATATATATATATATATGCTACCTCTTTGTCACAGAGACCTGTTGAACAGTTGGTATGGCGTTTGCCCCAATCGTAACCGTTCAGGTTTCAATTCTCGATAGTGGATGCGCACTGCTGATGAGTCCGTAATATAGGATGAAACGGCCCCCAGTGCTTTCTGCATTCTGTTGAGGTTTCTTCTAGACTCAATGAATTAATTGTGTGTGTGTGTGTGAGAGTTAAGACAAAAAGAAAACTTATCCAATGCGTTTCGTCATGAGGAACCAAGGCAAATGTAAGGATTTCATTTTGTAACAAGTATTTATATACAAGACCAAAAATGTTATTTTTAAAAATTTTTAGGTATAGGAGTATTTATGAATAGCCCTCAGATTAATGGAAAAGACAGGCAAATTCATGGACATAAAGGTGATAGATTTAATGCTTAATAATTGAAAGTGAGTATGTTTTTATATATATATATATATATATATATGTGTGTGTGTGAAAAGTGTATATAAATATAAATAAATATAAGTATGTATAATTATTTATATATTATATGCGCGGTACTTATTAGAAAGCGCTCAATATCAGAGATAGAGTTAACATATTTGGTTGGATAGATGTT